CTTTGCAATACACTTAATTTCCACAGTCACTTTAACTTAAACACACACTGTAATTCACAACAAACGATTCACGCACTTTACTTACAGTGGTTATTGGTGTCTATAACTTCAATCTCCCTCTCTGCTACTCCAGTTTCGAATGATCTTCTCCTTTGTCTGGCGTCCTGATATACAATCAAAAACACGCGCGTAGCACGCACTAGCATCTTCGTGAATCTTCTACACTCTCATCACGTGACTTCCGCTGTTGTAACATTATGTTAAATACTACATCTGTTAGGAAATGGTAGTCAAACTTCTAATAAATAATTCTTTTGAAAAAAATTCATGACATTGGAGATGGGACAGCACTGAAGGTCCAGAGGCAGTTTCTTGAGATACTGAGATAGTCTCTGGTTTGAATGTCGGAAGAAATTTGATTCATCAAAAATAACTGGTTTTATCACACACATTTTTAAAAATTTTAACTAATATTTGGTGGAAAATCTCGTAATTACCCAGCTATTATATAAATTATTGTTACTGAATCAGCAAAGGTTTTTGTTTTGTTAATTAAGGGAGTGGACTTGTATTGAATGTTTACTACTATTTTTCAACAGGTATGAATGTTGATGAAACTAGAAAAGATGCATTGATGAAACATATTGATAACTGATGGAATTACACATTTCCAATTTTTTAACCCAGACAATGACATTCAATATGTTAAATTGTATCACTTCTCTTGACAAAATTCTGAGTGAGGAGTTGAACTCTACAGATCAGAGGTGAGAAAAAAACTTTATTAATGACAAAAAACTTGGAAAAATACAAATAAATGTAAACTGAATTGTAATTGAAGAAAACTGCAAGGTGAGCATAAAAAGGAAAGGCCTACCTTCTGAAAGAACTTAGATTGTCAGGTTTCTTGTATCAAGATTTATTTACTTTATTGGTCCTAAGTATTTTCTACATACTGAGTGATAAGCAGCTGTAAAGCAGTAAGAACTTGTAGATAAACTAAAGTCATATTCTATTTTGTTGTCTCATAAAATAAAAGTAAAGTGATATGATGTAATGTCTGTAGATGTATTTTATATGGAATGTGAAATGCACTAGTAAAAACTTAGTATAGTCAGAAATTGACTTATCTGAAAAATAGCTTTTACTAAAAGATGAATCCCCTTAAAGTGTTGGAAACATTGGGGTAAAAATTCCCATAAAAATATAACATTTCAAACACTCCTCTATTCTATAGATTTAAAGATAATATACAAATTTTTATGCATTTAATACATTTAATGGGTTATCACTTAGAAAATTAGTAACATTGGCCTATGATATGTTCAGTAATCTTAGTTTTAATTTTGGCATAGGAGATATTACTATTGGGACATCAAAGTTTGAACAGTTTTCTCCTTTTTTATTTTTGCTGAAAAGAGTATAAAGAATGCCAATGAATTTATTTTCTTATCTAATCGTTTATTTATTATTAGGTTTATTTCTGTCCCACATTTAGCATTGAAGCTTGTTTAAAAGAAATTGAAGAGGTACTAGAAGGGCTTGGAAGCAGGCATGGAAATGGAAGAGGGAAGAAAACTTCTGATGGGAAGAGCAAAAAGGAAACTGATTCAGTGAAGAAAGATGTACAGACAAAATGTCAGAGGAGCTGTCTTAGTAAAATTGTAAGATACACTTACATAATACTTGGTAGTTAAAAGACCTTATTCATATATGATAAAAGCCATCATCACTCAAACAGTTGTATTACTGCCACTTCTCAACACTTTATTGTTTTCACATATGCTCAGATTAGTGGTTTAACTAACAAAATGTAACATTTATCACATTTCATAAAAATCCAACATGTTTATTGAAATGTTTTCAAAACTACAGAAACATAACGGTAAGTTTTACTAAGAAATCTTGTCCATAAATACACATTTATACAGTCATTTCAGTTTTTTTTTTTCCTGTTTTGGGTAAAAATATTTTAGCTGTAACTTTGGTTCTACATAATAGACACTCATGAAGGGGTAGGGCATCCAAAGACTTTGAAAGATAATTTGATAATACTTGACCATGCTAATTTCTTTTTGCTGAATTTATTTCCAGCTGAACAATTGATGACATCAGACTGAACCCATGCTTTTCCTCTAATTTTGTGATTAATTAGAATTGTGATTTTAGTTTACATAAAGTACTTCTTGCATCATGTATTGGAAATGACTTAGAATGTCGTCAACTGTGATATTAATGCAAACAACCTTTAGCTTATACTAAAATGGAACAACTAAACCCTGCATGTTGCATAATGACAAAGCAAAAAAATCAACATGTGTATGTGTACAATGCTCAACTAACATTAATTTTTACAAATAATGAGAGAAAATGGCTAACCATAACATTAAAACAAATGACAAGCTTGGTGAGATAATTCTTTGTTCACATTAAAGGTAAAACTTGTCTGTTCCCCTCTGGTCATTTCTCTACTTCTTATCACAAATTATTTAAAAATCTTTGGAATGAATTGTCGAAGGTTTGAAACTTAATGAAACCTCTACTCAGATACTTGAAAGTAGCGACTAAACAGGATACCAAAAAGTGTAGTTACATTTCACTTAAGTTTATATTATCTTTCCTGCATATGATACAGTGCAGACCTCAGGTTTGTAAGTGTAAACTGTAAAATCAAACACTTCATTTGATATTTTAGTGAACTGGTTTTGTCTTTATGCAGCTTTAATTTCTTTAGAAAAAATTTCATAAGTAATGAATTTAACTAATTTTAGGATTATCTTGTAGATGTTAATATCACATCACATTTCTATGGCTTATTTCATTGAAGGATGCCACTGTTATATAAAGGATGTGGATTATTTGGTGAGTTGGGGGAATAAATGGCAGACAGATTTTCATTAGAATAGATGTGGGGTAATGCATGTGTGATATCATATCTTGAATTGCAAGTATAATTCCAATACAATATCTTACTTCCACTCTCACAAAAAGCTTTCTCGACTTGTACTACCCTCTGTCAGATGCAAATTTTTGCTTGCCACCAACCTTGTTATTCCCACTTATTACTGCATTCCAACATGCAAAAGATCATGCAGCAACCCTCCACCAATAAGAGTGAAACACTACCTCATCGTAACTAGCACCCTCTCTAATCATGCACATGTTAATTACTTCTTGATTGGCAGTCTTACTGATTAGATGTGTTTTTCGTTTACAGTTTAATTAACCTATCCAAACGTTTTTACTTTCATGAGTTTCTCCTTCGGTTTATTTGTAATTTTACATTTTCATTCTGTTTCTTGAAGAATTACGATTTATATATTTTTTATCTCCGTTTTCATTTTCGGGTGGTCATGACTACGACTGCTCTTACTGCAGCAGAGGAATTCTCTACCATGTCTAATGGGTCAATACCCTGATTGTTGGCCCATGAAGTGATGGCTATGGTCCATTAGGAGTTGACTACTTTCACACTACAATCAGAACACACTGATTGTTTGTTCTAAAAGGTTTTCAGTGATCTTTTAGTTTTCGATTTGGACAGCCTTTTTCCTCCCCTCCTGAATATGCCTCTTAGTCATGTCTTATTTTGAGGGACTTGCCCAGACTTTTTTCCCCTTTGGTGGATTTGTTATTTAGGAATTTTATGTTCTGTACTTATCTTCCAGATCCTACCACCTCCTTTGTCAGTTCAGGGCTCTCCTAGGGTATATGACATTTACTGCTCCCTTCTGTAGTTCCCAAGCATGTTTGCTTCTTCCGTGAAATCCTCACCTCTCTTATGACCTCTTTCCATCACCATTTTAGGTTGAATTCGCCTAGCATTTTCTTCTCTTTCTCCTCATGATTGCCACCTTTTTATGTTTTATTCCCATCAGGTCTGTCATCTTATCATGTCCCTGACTACACATTTCCATCTTCCCTTGGGGGACATCATTAGTGCTGTAACTGTTTATTCGTGGTGGTAAGTACTCCATTCATTTTGCTTTTTCTTTGCAGGTCTTTTATCACATATTTGGATTCCACTCTGTGGCGAGTGCTGCCTGACCAGATTTACTTAGTCTTTGTCAGTTTTATAGGGGCTGGGATTCTTTTACAGTAGGTGTCTGTGACTTGTTGGTAATGAATTTGAACAATAAATGGACAGCACTTGTTTTAAAATGATATGTTCAAAACAAATCAAACTTGTGTACAAAAATTCTTTACACTATAAGTTGTCACAGTTGTATCTAAAACTCTAAATAATTCTCTTTTTATTCTATTATCACAATATAATTAGTGATGAGTTCACCACAGTTGTACACAGGGTTTTAGATAATTCTCCTTAACGTCAAAAGTCCACACAGGCTGTATCAATTACTTTAGAACACCCTTTGACAAAACAAATTATTCTTCTTTACCTTTGTTGTTCAATACTAGCTCTGAAACTCACTTCAAAATCACCACTATAACTGTTGGTTACCACAGTTGTATCCAGAACTTCAAATAGTTGTCTCCTTGTGTTCAAAGTCCACACAGATGGATTCAATTACTTTATATCACCTTTTGACAAGACAGATTATTCTCTTTATCTCTGTTACACTGTGAAACTCACTTTAAAATATCGCCCACTGAAGCTAAACTAACAATCACACAGTCTAACTTCACTAACTTAACTTTCTTACTTGACTTGCACTCAC